TTGGTGAACCAGTTGATTTCAATGAAATAGAAGAATTGCATACTCCTAAAACTGTAATATTTTTTAATTTTTTTCATACATTTCTTATAAATGTAGCAATGCAGTCGTAAATATAATAATGGTAACATACCAATATATTTCTAAATGAGCATAACAAATATGAGAGGATGGAAGCTTTTATATGCTTTTAATAGTTAATCTTAAGCAAAGTTTAATACATGTGCTGATCATGAGATTAAAGCTATGCTTACTATCTGTTGTAGAACAAAGAAATGTGTATAAGTCTATGTCATTTATTTTCTTTGTTTTTTCAACAAATATACGTGTTTGATTTTATGATATTTTTCATTAATTAACAGGCAAATCATATTTCATTTTTACCAAAATATATTTGAACTTCAATAGGTCATATTTTTTTTAATCTTCATTATTATTTTCAATATGTCTCAGATACAAGTTATTGCAGTTATAGATGTTATGATTCAATAGATTTTACAAATAACAATATAATAATATATGCTATGTATCTGACTCAGTATGCTATAAATTAATATCTTATGTGAAACACTAATTTAAAATTATATCTACTATATTTTCAATACATGCTGTATGTTATATGTATATTAGATTGATGATCATTTCGTTTTCAAAATTAGTAAATAAGAATAGTATTCTTTGTTGAGAAATAAATGAATAATAATAATAATTAAAATAAATAAAAAACTTAAAAGTTATAATACGCTAGTACATGGCTGTATATTCGCAGGCTTGTGGTTTCTTTTGGGTTAATGCATGTTTTGAAAAATGGAATTTAGCTACAAGTTTTGTTCCTTCCACTACATCATTGTATAAATATTAATTATTATCTTAAATTCAGCACACACAGAAAAGGCACAACTGCTTGGAACATTTTACTCCAAACAGCTCGGAATAAAAATTCTATTTACACTGATATAACAAAACAGAATAAGACAAAATATACGAGTATATGTATTAATTTGAAATTAATTTTTTTTGTAACACCAAACATTAAAATGAATTCTGACGAAAACGATATTGTTATACTGCTATTGTGGATTTTTTTTGTTAGGTTAATAAATGGCAATAAAAAACATAACATTTGAGTGACTGAAATAAATAGAAAATGTACAAAGTATAATACAAACAAATTAAAATGTCTGAGATCGACATGAAAATAACGCTCACTAAGTTTATACTATTCATGAAAATAAACCAGTTACTTGTTTTTCATATTTTTCTCGGAGTAAAATTCGAAGCAAACCAATCGAGACCGATTATGTTTTATTTTGTTTTGTTGTATTTTGTTGTTGGCTGATTTATGTGTGTGCGTCAATTACTTTACTTATGTTATAATTAGTTATGAGATTAATCGAAGAAAAAATAATCGAATAATCAAATGATTAGTAGTTGAAAAAATAACCGGATGATTCATTCGAATGAATTATGATATTATTAATTAACATTTAACATTGCTTGAACCAATCGTTAAATGAGTTCTAAGATCAGTTTTGATGAGATTCATATCAGAAAGTTCTCGTTCACACTCGAAAGTTGTTGTTAGAAGTATGTTTTTATAAGATCAGAAGACGCATTTTATGAACTAAAGTTTACTAAACTTTCAAATTCAGCTACAAAATTCAGAATTCAGACCAAATCTGTGTGACACTCTTTAAACTTCCTCTTTTCATCTATCATCGTCGGTTTCTATTTTAAATACTTCTCCAATAATCTACAGGATGAAAAAAATTGCAATTTAGATGTTCGCGTACAGAAATAATTATTAATTCGATTATATTTTTCAATATTCCTTACCTTTAGATCTTGTAATATTGTTCTATTTTTAAGGTCATTGAATAAGCGCTGACGCATTTTATCGACTATATATTGTAAGAATTGTAATCTGTTGATTCCTCCAGACTTTATGATTGTAATATTTATGTCTTTATGAATTCGTTTTTGTATAACTTCTTTAATTTCTTTTTCACCAGGTTCTGTCTTCAGGCTTTCTAGAATTCTAACTGTTCTACATATTTCTATTTGAGCGCGCATTAATGTTGTTTTCCTTGATTGAAGTATACAAGACAGCATTCCGGTTCGAAAAGGACGTCATAAAAGAGTCCAAGCTCCTCTAGGAAAGAAGAAGATAATTTGTTGTGTTATAAATTGACATACACTTCTGTAGCACTTTGCTACATTTTAAGTCAATCCATAAAAATAAGCAAATGTTTTAACTCCCGAGTCCTGGTTATAACTATGTATACTTTGAACTATTTGTTTCCCCCCCCCCCCCTATAAGAAATTTCTAAATACGTCCCTGGTAATATTCGAGTGGCGATTAATAATCTGTGACTTGTATGTTTAAAAATTGTAAATACATATTTATTAAAAGTTGTAGTAATAATTCTTACTGTATATTTATAAAAACCAGTAGGGTAGTTGGAGCTTAAGGGAGGCGATTTATAACTATCACGGGTGTAAGTATTATACTATTTTATTATGGCTCTAACTGTGATTAAAAAATAACTAATAAATTCTAAGGATGGGGCGATCCACCCCTCAGCAACGTAGAGAAACATATAAGAAAATTTGTTGATTATTTTGGTAAAATGAATATTGTAATTACTCCTAAGAGTATAGGTATTTTTTAATTTTTAATTTCTATAGCATTTGATTAGTTGTAAACATTTTTTTAACTTTTTTAATTTTAGAATAATAAAAATAGAAAGATATCAATAATTACTCAAGATGAAGATGAAGATTGTAAAACTGATATTTGGACGACTCCAGTAAATGTAAGTATTATCAATGGTAATAATTAATTATATAAGTATTATTGCTAAACTCTAGTATTTTCCAATCAAGTTATCAAAAATAACTGAATTTTGGTTAAATCTATTATATCAATTAATTTTTTTTATACTCGATTCTGTATTATAATGAAAATATTGCAATGAATCTGTATATTAATGAATATCTCAAGTTATGAATGATAGGAAGTAAGGTAAATGTGTAAAAATAATTCCCTACAAGTACCTCGATTTAACTGCCGAAAAAAGGAAGAATTAATTACCTTCAATTACTAGTATAAATTCAAAATAATAAAATACATGATATAAGACTAAGTATAAATTAATGTTTCTTAGATCTACATGAGTCTATTGTTATGGACTATCGAAAGATAATGTCTGTGCACAAATAAACAATCAAACGAATATTATTTTTTATATTTGATTTAAAAAAAAAAAAAGAAATTATAATTGTTGTAATAACTATAGAAGGCTCTGGAAGTTCTGTCTAACCGAGACTGCTCTGAACCAAAACTGCTTGTTTCGCAGTGTGGGGGTCAGGAACGGACCAAAGAGAGGCCAACATATAATAGGGCAGGCATAGTAGCACGGAAGTTGAAAAAATGGTAGGGGTGGCAGAGGCTGGAGCGCCCTTAATTTGGACTCTCCACTTTTGATTCTCCGTATATAAATAACAGTACCTTTGTAATACAAATAGTAAAAACAATTTCATTTCTTAAAGTCTGACCCCCCCCCATTAAAAATGGTATGTCGACCAACAACTAGCAAGGTTAGTAATTGTTTCTTTTTAGTTTTGTTAAGTTTAAGTTAAGTTTTTAAACATTACCTACTATGTATTTCAATTTATTTTTTTTTGATCAGGCATATTTATAGAATTATTTTTCTTTGAGGGAAATTTGTTTTTACATCCTATAAAAATAAAATTTTTATGAACATATATATGTAACAAAAGAAGCTTAAACCTTATGGGTTTGCTAAAAAAGATTGGTAAGATTTAAAATTAGGAAGGGGAACGCTCTTCAATTTTTGATGAATATAGTCCCCCCACATTTTCCCCGCTTAAACCACTGGTGCTGTACAATAAAATATAAAATAGTTAATATAAAACAATATATTTAGGTGCTTATTGATTAATATTGAACTTGGAAAATAATTCAGGAAAAAACTTTTTTTTTATTAGCCACGTTAAGAAATTCGTTTATAGTTCGATTAAATATATTGAGTAAATAGTAATAATATTTTATGAATAAAAATAATAAAAGATAATAATATGATAGTATGCAACCTAATAAACAAAAATTGTGCATCGACGACAATAAAGATTATCACTAGTTACTACTCTAGACGCTAGGTGCTCACATTACACACATATAGACTCAGTGGCGTGCGGAGGGGGTATGGGCGTATTTTAGGGGGAGGCGAAGAAGCGATCGCTCCCCCCCACCTTGAATCCTTATTTAAGGAATTTATTATTATATATATACCCATTTAAAATTTTTTTAATGTGGATAATATTATAACGAAATCAAATTACGCGTGGCTGTGAATACTGAATTGAACTTTTTGTCGGGTCTATACTTAGTAAAAAATCAAATAAAACACAAGCGTAACTTTCAAAACACAGACAGGTGTTAAAAAAGAATTACACAAAAGTTAATTCTAAATGGATCCGGCATTAGATTAAAAAAAGAAATCACAAATATTAAGGATACACGTGATTTGAATATTACCAACAATTTTACTTGTCAATTTTGAGCTTGAATTGAAGAAAAAATTTGAGTGCTCCCCCCCCCCCCCAGAAGTAAGTCTTACTGCCCCTGGCATGGGGGGATAATTAGGTATACATCCCCCTTGAGATTTTTTTTTAGTTTTAAACGTTTTATAACTTAATTAAGAAGTACGGCGGGGCAGTCACGGTTAAATGGATTGGTGTTAATGAACATACATCGAGACATTCCATTACTACTGAACAAATAATTGATGAATTTAGTGTAAAAGCCACAAAGATGAATTTTCGCCTTAATTGCATTTTTTTTTTTTTTTGTTTAATTATAAAGAATAAAGACTGAAAATAATAAATTTTTATTCATGTCATCCCCTCCCCTCCAATACCAAATTCCTGCGCAGGCCACTGTATAGACCGGGTTCAACGCTGATCGGAATTTCAACGATGAACTAATAATTGATTACTGACTCTTACACACATATTTTCAGACAGTGCCATTCCTAGGTTTTGCGAGGCTCTGGGCATCATTAGAATTCGAGGTCCTACAATATTATATCAAATTCATAGGTACACTAGAATATCGTTTCTCATTCTTTTTATAGGTACCTAGTCGAGTACCACCCGCCCATTACAAAAATGTCTACACATTTGACCAGTGGCGTAGCCAAGGGGGGGGCTAAGGGGGCTATAGCCCCCCATGGGCCGTGTTTATATGTATAATGTATCTTGACTATTTAATAGAATCAATGGATGCTCGTTTTAATCAAAGGCTTATTGATTTTATGCCACTTGAAGAACTTATTCCGGCCAATTTAAATATGTATGATGATAAAGATATTATAAAAACTGCTAAAATATATGTCCAAGATCTCCATGATGATACCTCATCTACAATCAGAGCTAACCTGTTCATATGGAAGCAACAATGGAGTCAAAATACTATTCCAAAACCGAATTCTGCTCTTGATTCACTCTCTCATCACACTAATCTTCGACCTAACATTAAAATACTTTTACAATTATTCGCCACGTTACCAGTTACCTCTTTCACTCCGGAAAGAACGTTTTCAGCACTTAATCGCTTAAATTTTTTTTTAAGAAGCACCATGTCGGAAAACAGACTGAATGGGTTAGCTACGGCTAATATAAATAAAAGAGTGCAATTCGATAAAAGTGAAATAATAACTGAATTTACCAGAAATTCGCCTAAGAGGATGCAGCTGTCAGAGTGGAGCAAGTGACTGAACACTGAAACCAAAATTATTATTATTATTATTATTATAAATTATATATCAATAAATATTTTTAAAACTATACTAAAATGCTTGAATTACGTTTAGAAACTTGGTGATAGATGGTTGGGGGGGGTTAAGGGTCAATTCTCATATCCTCTCTTACTTTACTTATCCAAAAAAAGTGGTTAGCCCCCCCCCCCATTTAAAAATCCTGGCTACGCCACTGCATTTGACCTAATAAATTCTTCTTATCAACAAATGTATACCTACCTTATTTATATGTAGAAGTTTATTTAGGGATACATATATTTCGTATGACAGAGTAGAGCAACAAATTTAAATATGTAAATATTAACAGACATATATAAAATAACATAATATAAATGAAAAAAAAAATAAAAATTAGCTTAGTAAGACAGGTGGTAACTATTATAGCTGGAATATATTTGAAACTATAGATTATAAATGAATGTCCATATTTCGTATCCAATCGACTACATCTTTATTAGCTGTATAGGTAACATTTAGAGTGCCTTTGAATGCACGGATGCCGTTGAAAAGAACATGTAATGTTACAAGCAATGTACACATTTTTCCGCTCGCCACTCACCAATATACACGATGCACTAAGTCGTTGCTAAAATGTTTCAAAATATTGTTATATACACTACAATATAATGTTATTAATATAGTGTAATAATATATATTATATAATATTGCATATACGCGAGTGCCCCGTTTGTCCTGCCCTCGGGACGACACTGTTTTCAAAATTATCTAAAATTAGAATTATATAATAATAGTATTGTCAGTAGCGGCTGTAGTAAATATTCTGGGGAGACTTTTTTTCTTTTTTTTTTTTTCATGGTTGAACCGAGAACCGAGCAGGAGCCGTTTATCACATTACTGCACACTCGGTCCCCATCGTTTATTGTAAAAAAAAATTACACTTTTCAATTGTTCCATTAATATCCTAACCAATACACCTTAGTTTCCTGGGAGCATCAGATGGGGATCTCGATAAGTATTTACAAAATTGCTTAAGGTTATTAATAATTTTGTACATTGCCTTTTCTTGACCCGGTGTCCAAAATCAGACAGTCTAGACAAGTGGTTTGTTGAGCCATTTGCAACATTTGGGAAGAGCCTGTGAGTTCGCCTCCCTTTTGTCGACCGATCCTACCTATTTTGCCAGCCGCTGTTCGAGATCTTTTAAATCTGTAATAATAAATATAGAAAACGCTACTCGTATAACATATGAGTATTTTTAATAAAATAAAACAATTTCTATAACATTTTTAAATAGTTATTATTTACGAGTAGCTGTTTTTTTTAAGGGGAGACGCAATCTCAAAATTTCCCCTGACGAACCGGCCCTGAGTATCGCAATTCCGTCTAAAGTAGAGGTCTCTATTTCACATGTAGTAAAATTTAAAGATACACGTGAAATTAAAATTCACGTATGCAATCACATGAGTTTGTGAATTTAATTACATGTGATTCAGTCAATTTAATTACACGTGATTCAGTCAAATTTGTTATCAAATCACGCGTTTATTGTTTGATATTTTACTATAAATTCTTGGATTTTTAAATTTAAGTACACGTGAATAAACAGGTGATAACGTGAATTCACGTTCAAATTCGGAAGCTCTACTTTAAACCGTTTCCTTAAATCGCACCAATTATTTTATTTTTTATTTTTACATATAAACGGGCTTGCGCCCAAGTAAAATGGTACATATAACATGATAATATAATAATATTTTTAATACGACAAATTATTAGAAACAGTTTTAAATAATAATTATAAACTAAAATAACTTATATATTAATGAAGTGGGGATCCTCATTTTCTATTCTTACCATGCGATTTATAGGTTCATTATACACAGTGGTTGAATTGGGGGGGGGACGCAGAGGGTCTGAGCTACTCTTCATTTTTCTTCATATTATAGCGTACCCCTTAATTTAATTCATCAAGGAACGCAGGGGACGCAGCGTCCTTCAACAATTATATGAATATGAATTTGTTTCTAAGAAAAATTAAATAAATATGAAAAAAAATTGGAAACGATTAATATTTTATTTAATTTTTGGTATTAGTTCGTAATCTGTTCATTATTATTAGCACATATGTATATTAGGAACGCAATAATAAAATAAATAATAATGTTATATAATTTATGTAACACGTTTCAAGTGTTTCCACTGCGTATTAATTCGTGGTATAAGCTGCTAAATTGCTAAAAATATAATTATTACGAAAACTTCCCTGGGTGTACCGATATAACGATCTTTAGTAAACCATTGACAATAATAATATATTGACTCCGTATTTTGAGAATCCGTCCGTTGTTTTAGTTATCGACGATTAACAAATGGTGATCGTTTTCAAGGAAAATTAAATATTATTTATATTTTATTTGGAAACGAGGTGCGCCACGAATGAGTAATCAGTATTATGTTAGCTTGTGGCGTACTCTCGTATGTAATTTATAAATTGTAATTTTGTTGAAAATAGTAAACACCTCAACCGCACTCCTACAGTCCTACATGTCACGTCAGCAATAAACAAATAAACATGAATAAACGTCAAAAATTGTCCATATCGGACTTTTTCAATAAAAAAAAAAAAACAATAACCAAGGTAATTAAAACACTTTAATTTAATAATAAATCATAGACGTGCGCAGATTCCTGTTACCGGTGTACTTTTATTTTTTTTTGATAATCCACCCTCATAAATCCCGCCTTAAAAAAAAAAAAAAAGTAGAAATAAAATTTATTAGAAAAACTGATGTACAATCTGATTATCAATGAACGTCAGTCCCGGCAATTTTTATTTTTTTGTAATTTGATAAAATTTATAAAAAAAACTTGATTTTCCAAAAAAAGTTATTAGCCCTTTTTACTTAAGTACCTAGTACCTACCTAAAAAAAAAAGTTAATAAATACAGTTAAAAGTTCCTTAAATTTTTTTGGTCATACATTTTAAAGCAATACATATACATAACTATGATAAAAATAATTATTATTTAACTCTCAGCAAATCTTAGTCCTAAAAATAATGTGACGGGATGAAATAAATTATTTGACTAATATTAAACTTCAAATATTAAAATTAATATTGACAAAAAAAAATTAATGTACTAATTAAAGAGTAACATTTATAATCTATAAATTTAATATTTACTTTTTGTAGGCAATAGTAAAATACATGAATTATTTTAAATTGAAAGTTAATTGATTAATTAATTTTATCATGTGGCTATATATTTACATTTTAGATTTTAAATTTGCTAGACGTGTTGCTGTGTTGATAGAATTAATACAAATAAATACCTATTAGTATTGTTTATTATTTGTAGATGCATTTAGGTGGTGGGGGGGACAAAGTCCCCCACGTTTTTTTTTAGATTAATTTGCTTTGGAACGCTAATTGTTCAGCTACATTTAGAGTCCACCTTTATTTTTTTTTCCAATTCAACCACTGATTATACATGTAATTAGTTGAACAGAAAGGGACGTGAAATGGAATCGAGTTGCGAGTAAAATGCGCAAGCACTCTAAAATTAATTAATGAGCGAAGTGTTGGAGCGTCGATATCCGAAGAAATAAGTTTAGTGAGGAAGGAAATATTTTGAGAATATCGACGGCTAGCTAATGTGGATAGGTTGAGCTTAGATAGGACAGGGGAATAATCATGCGGGAGGCAAGGAATTTTCAATGAGTAGCTTGCGTAATTGAGGAATTTCCTTTGGACACCCTCAAGTTGACGACAAAGATCAGTACAATGCGGATCCCAAACCACTGAACCATATTCAAGAATTGGTCTGACGAGAGCGCAGTAGAGAGATTTGAGTGAGTTAGTAAATTTAAATTCACTTGAAACTCTTCTAATGAATCCAAGTAACTTATAGGCCTTACATACAATGCTAGTTATATGTAAGCGCGGAGAAAGAGAGGGCGTGAATATAAAACCTAAGTCGCGTATAGATTCAACAGATGAAACTCCAGCACCATTTATTAATTAGGTATAGATTATAGGAGACCGATTTCTGGTGAAGGATATCGAATGACATTTAGCAATGTTGAGATTCAGGCCTAGGGATTCACTCCAACTGACAAACCTGTCAAGATCACTCTGGAGAAGTGAACAGTCTTCCGAAGTTCTAATAAGCTTGTACAATTTCATATCATCTGCGAAACATAACAGACGGCTATGGTGTAGTACCGATTGAGCATTATTGACAAAAAGGGAAAAGAGTAATGGTGAGAGATGACCTCCTTGGGGCACACCCGAAGTGGCAATAAAGGGTTCAGATCTAACATCGAACAGCTTTACCCACTGAGGCCTATTAGTTAAGAAAGATTCAAACCAAGACAGAAGAGGCTCGCCAAAACCAGAAGATCGAAGTATGTGAAGGAGAAGTTTGTGGTTAACAGAGTCAAATGCCTTGGAAAAATCGGTGTATATAACATCAACCTGAGTACCTACATTAAAAGAACCAAATATATAATTACACAAAGTGATGTTACATGTGACCGTAGACCGTCCTGGGTGAAAGCCATGTTGTTCATCAGCGAGTAGTGAACGGTTTACTGATGGTTGAATGTCATTTAGAACCAAGGCTTCAAATATTTTGGATATGTGGCTAAGTATAGCAATAGGCCTATAGTTTTCAATCTCAGAAGTGTTATTAGATTTAGGAATAGGGGTTAACGAAATAAAATAAATAAATAAAATTATAAAACATAAACAATCTAAAGTTGTGTGTGACGTGTATACTATTTAGGAAATCTAGACCCCTATAAAACAGGGATATTCTGTTTACGTAATAATATTTAAAAAATTGAAATTCAAACTATTAAATTAAATCTAAAATTTTAGACAGTTCAGAGGTTTTCGAGGAGGGCCATGGCCCGCCACTGCTGTTATGTGTGTGAACCCTCTCATTTAAGCTGGTCATCCGGCCAAAAGGGTAATTCAGCTGATTCCTTAGATCAGCCGTATGGGTAGGAAGTCTCACTCGCCTTTAGTCACACATGCATCAGTTTAAAATATGTTTCATTATTTCACCACAATCAGTGCTCGACTTGAAGGGTACAGAGTACCCCAGCTAATTTTCAGAAATTTTAGCGTCTCCCTACTATTATTACGCTATAATCATAACACTCAGCCAGTTTTGGGGACTTCCTTTTTTTTAAAGTAAATAGAATCCTCCTTCTTTAATTTTGCCAAGTCGAGCACTGACCACAATAAACACTTATACATATATTAACTTAGATATAATACTACTAATATAATCAGTGGCGTACATTCAATCTTGCTCTGGGGGGGAGGGTTTACAAAAGTAATCGTAATCTTTTTTAACACAGATAAATAAGATAAATAACTGCTATAAATAGATATTATTTTATTCAACTTTTTTACCAATTTACAGTTTACTTTTATATTACAGTAAATGAATAGCTATTGGAATTTAAAAACAGCATAGTTAACAAAACTTTTCAAACACCTATCAATATAACTATTTAATTATCATAATATTTGTATATTTGTATATTTTAAGTTTAAAGCGTAATAATGAAACTATGAATATATTACACGTCATCAATAATAAAACAATTTTTTTTTGCCCTGGGGGGGGGGGTTTGAACTCTGAAACCCCCACAACCCCCGTATGTACGCCACTGAATATAATAAACAGTAGTCCTTAACACTATACAGTTTTTATTGAATATAATTAAAAATATTGTGTTTATTTTATATTTGTATTTCATACAAAATAAAAATATGATAAAATTGAGTTAGTTTAATATTTTAATGTTTTAGAAACATATGAGAAAATCAATGACACCAACTAAACATTGTGTTTCAAAAGTGCGTCGTAGTATTTTACAGGATATACCAGAAAATAAAGAAACTGAAGTAGTTATTACTCCAAAGACACCAAGAAAAACTCCAAAGGTAAATATTTATATCCTTTATTCTGTATATCTTGTAGAACTAAACTAACATTTTTAAATATTTTATTTTAGACACATGTAAAAAACTTAATAGCTTCAGCTAATAAAAGATTAGACAGTGGAGTAATGGTTCCATGTAGTCCCTTGGAAAAAGCAAGAGCAAATTTACACTTGCATGCTGCTCCTAAACATTTACCATGTCGTGAAGTTGAATTTAAATCTATACACTCATTTTTGGTCAGAAAAATTAATGATGAATTAACTGGGTAAATTACTACTTTTAATATATTTTTATTACAATTTTAATATTTTTTAATTTATTTTTTATCTAGGAGTATGTATATTAGTGGTGTTCCTGGTACAGGAAAAACTGCTACGGTTAAAAGAGTTATAGATTTTTTAAATGCTGATTTAATTATGAAACACAGTTTCAAAGTAATTTAGCTATTATATTTTCTTTAGTATAATAAAATGTTTTGTTACTAAAAATGGATGATTTTATAATAGTTTATAGAAATTAATGGTCTAAGACTTGCCAATCCACATCAAGCATTTTCAGTCATATGGAAAGAATTAACTACAGAAACTGTGTCGTCCTCTCGAGCCCAAGCACTTCTTAATGATTATTTTTCTGGTGATGAAGTCAGAAATTTGTCAACAATTTTATTGGTTGATGAAGTAAGTCATTGCGTTATTAAACTTAGTATTTTATAATTTTCTATTTGATTTCTTAGGTTGATCATATTTGTAACCGCAAACAAGATGTTGTGTATAATATTCTTGACTGGTCCAGTCGAATTGGTTCAAGAGTGGTTGTAATAACAATTGCTAATACAATGGATTTACCTGAACGAGTATTAAGAGGATGTGTTACTAGCCGAATGGTAAATAAAATAATAAAATTAATTTGAATTCACATGCTTCAAATTTTATGAGGTGTACAAATGCTTATATTTAGGTACTATTGTTTAAACTATTGTAATTCTAAAATTATATTTTCATTCTTATATAAGTATTTCATAAATATTTTTTTTTATGGACACATATTAAAATATTTACAACAATTATGTACATTTTTTAACTTTACTATCAAATTATAAAGTCTAATAATCAAATTATTCTATATTTATGTTTATAAAATTATAATTTCATAAGAATGAAAACTTATCGAAAGTTGTTGTTGATTATAATATAAAACTAAAATATTTAATAAAGTACTTTGTATAATTAAATGTGTAAGTAGGCAAATTTTACATATTTTATTTTGTTATTTTTATTGCAAAATAACAATATTAAATAGATTAAATTTTCTCAAAAAATTTTCATACTACATATTATTTAAATTTTTACCATGAGAAGGAATGTATACTGTTTATTAATAATGTTTTCTTTATATGATTTTAGGGGTTAACTAGATTAGTATTCAAGCCATATACATTTCAACAATTACAAGAAATTATTACAAATAGGCTGATTGGTAATTCTTCATTTGATCCTGATGCTGTTCAATTTGTGGCTAGGTAAGAAATTTTAGTTTCAAATAATGTATTTAAAATCATATTACACTTTTATTTTAGGAAAGTAGCTGCAATATCAGGTGATGCTCGACGAGCTCTGGATATATGTCGTCGAGCTATAGATTTAATTAAATCAGAAGATGATATTCAATTAATAACTATTAATCATGTCACTCAGGTGTTAAATTCAATACTTTCTGGTGTCCGTGTAACGGCTATCAGGTATAATAAATTATTTTTATATAAATAAAGCTGAAAAGTTATGAATTATAAAAATAATATTACATTTTACAACTGAGAAAATTTGTTAGAACTGTAATATTAGATTATTAATTAAAACCTGTACTAAACGATAACAAATAAATATTTTTAGAAAATATAACTATTATTTGAAATGTAATTTAAGAATTTGTTAAATTGTGTTGAAATTTTAAAATATATATAATAGACCATTTATTTTAGAAATTAAAATTTTTGCTTAGGATTTTGTTACTTTTTATATGTGATTATTGAGATTATTTATAATCTTATCTTTATAAGGTTATAATTATTCTTATATTTCTTAGGTACTGTAGTCTTTTTGAAAAAATTTTTCTCAAAGCCCTGAGAGATGAAACAATCAGAACAGGCTTTGATCATAGTACAATTGATTCTATTTATATTCAAATGAAAAGTATTTGTTTGTTTGAAGGTATGTTTATTAATTGCGGCTGCACCTTTTAATGGAGTTTATTACTTTAAAGGTAAATACATATTCATTTTTTTTATTTTAGGTGAACAGTTACCTAATGATCAACAAGTCATTATGATGGCATATCGTTTAAGAGATAATGGTTTGATATTTTTAGAAAAGAAGCGAACGGATGTCTTTCGTAAAGTATCACTTAATATTAGTTCAGAGGACATTAATTATGCTTTAGAAAAGTATAATAATTAAGTTATGTTATCTAATTATTTTTATATTTTATTCCTTATTGTGACTTATATACTCAGTGTAATTATATTTAATATTTGTATTTTTATTATTCAACTGAATATTTTAGTCAATTATTTTTATAAACTATCAGTACCTTTTTTAATTCCTAAATATTACCTTATTTGTTAATTACAGCATTAAGTTGTTTAATAAACTAATATAAAACAATTTAATTATATATTTTTATTTATATTTCATACCTTCCATGGTTCAGTTGATTATTGAATTAAATAATTTGTTTAATTCATAACCATTCCTCTAAAATATTTTTATTATTTGAAATAAAATTAAACAATCCTTTTCATTTAGGAGTAATTGTTTACAGAATACATTTTTTGATAATATAAGACATAATTACTTGTTATCACATTGTTAATCTGAAGATGTAAGAAAATATAAAAACCTATGTATTTTATCTCAACTTACTAACTTTATCTAGATTATTAATATTAGGTTATTTTTTGAATAATGTAAAAATAATTATTTAAAATATCATACTTAATTATTTTACTGTCTACCATATAATTGTATGAATATATTATTTCAATTAAATGGATTATTAACACATACTTCTTTTAAAATAATTTTATCAATGAGTAATTTAGATGTTAATATATTTCAAATAATACAATTTATGAAAATTCAACCATTTTTATATTACATAGAGGCACCTAAAGTTTATGTAACTTCAATATAGTTCTTAACTATCATAAAAAATTAAAAATATATAATATTAAATTATAGTAGGTTATTCATCAGGTGGAATAAATGCCATATTACGTTTAGCTTCTCTTTTTATTTTAGCTTCCTTTTGCTTATCTTCTTTTACCTTCTTTTTCCTTTTTTGTTTTTCCTCTTCTTTAAGGAAGTATTCTCCTGATTCCAACAACTTATCAATCTTGCTCTCTGTTGGAGCTGGTGGGAATGGAGTATATGGTTTCTTTGATTTTTTGATAGACTTCTTTTTAGGCACATTCTTGGGTTTGAAATTAGGTAAAAATCTATCCCAGTTTTCGTTTTTTAATTTAGGATTTCTTTCTAATTCACGTTTGATCATTAATGATTTAATATTGTAAATGGGATGAACATTTTTCATAGTATCTGTCACAATACGGCGTACCTATGATATCATAACTTAAAGTATTATTTTATTTATGATAATGTATGACAACTTTTCTTACTTGCTGGAGTCCTTTAAACGGACCAAGAGCTGCTACAGTTTGTCCTTGTACAAGCACATAACAATTGGTCAATAGTTCAATAGACTTTAGAGTACATCCTCCTGGTCCAATAAGCCTTTGTCTTCGTTTAACAAATTTGTCTCGATTTCTAACCATAGAACCGATTTTGATAATATCAGCAGCCATGTCATCTTCCATGACACGTATGGCATGTTCGTATGGTACACTTCGAGACAGTAATTTGATTAAATCCCGAGCTTTTAAAATGGAAGCAGGATCCCAAGTTTTACGTGTAGTGCGTACAGTCATGCTACCTTCAAGTAAGTCTAGATCGGCTTTGATGTGGTATTTCAATAAAGAGTTTTGGACTAAGGGCCAACATTCTTTCAAATAAGTTTCTCGATACTTGGGAAATAATGTAGCAAATGAACTCTCTTCCAAAAGCCCATGAGGATTATCTTCAGGACGGAACTCCGGGAGTTCAGTTTTCCAGGCGTTTTCCATTTGTGAGAATTATTTGAAGAAAAAAAAACTGAAAAATCATAAATTTTTCATCAACATAGGTAAATATATTGACAATAAAAAAAAAAAAACATTAAACAGAATATCTAAATATTATGGGTTTAATTTATTATTTTTATCAATAACTAAAAAATAATTAAGGCACTAGCACAGACTATAAGAATAGTCTATGGAACAAGTTTAGTAAACAAGAAGTTCTACACTATAATTAGTTTACATTTTACAGAACACTTGGAACTAATGGTATTAAATAGAAATACATAGTTGTATCATACTTTCATAATATAAATTAGTTTCGTGGTATTAATTGTACCTTAATGTTTATTATAATCGGAATACATAAATTTCAGTAATGACGAACCTTAAGAACAAGTTTTTTCAAATTATACACGACCACGACCAGTCGGAGTGATGGACAGCGTACAAGCCACGGTAAAATCTGTCAACTTAATTATCTTAGATTCAGAGCATGTAGTTTGAATGAATGATAAAAAAATAATAGAAACATTGATAGTAAACTGCGTATTCCACATAACCTAAAATATTAATTTGGGAGACACTGTGTCCCGTACCTCCCCCTCAGCCAGTTACGATTTATTCGTTCCTAATGTTGTACACAATACGAAATTATCTCTATCCGCGTCCGCCGCCAACTTACAACAAACTCTCTTTTGCACCACACGTGTTTCTCTAAGATTTTTCGTTCTGACCTAGCCAACTATTTCGTTGTCTTTAAACGATAAAAAATGGGTTTCGCCAATGTATGGTATTCGCATCCCAGACGTTATGGCCAAGGATCTCGTTATTGGTGAGTCAAATGTTTTCTTACGATTTTATTTCGCTAACCTTACGGCGACTGGTATCACACGACATTACGTGCACGTAGTAAGTTGCATGTAATGTACACTTGAATATTTTAATCTGATCTAGTCTGTGTTTAAATGTACGTGCGCTATAATTATCGCTTTACTGTTTGATTTCAGCCGAGCGTGTACAAACAGGCATGGTCTGATCCGGAAATACGGTATCAATTTGTGCCGTCAGTGTTTCCGTGAATACGCCAACGACATCGGTTTCAAGAAAGTTAGTGATTCGCTTCAAATTGCGATTAATTCACCCACATTTAATGATCTACTTTTGTACGTTTCAGATGGACTAAATATTGATTTTCTACGATCTTGACTGTGACAACTACGAATACCTACCACCCTGTATGGTCGCATTAATTTTGTCTACTATTTAAGTGAATAAATGAACTTGATTTGAAAATACGTATTTTTCGTTTATTCCATTTTTTTTTTTTTTTTTTTTTGATATATTATAATATTATATTTATGGTCATAGATTGATTGATTGATCCTTAACATTATTGTTGTTCCACCTTTGTGCCCTATGGGGATTTTTGGTATTTCTAGTCCAAAGATCATTGAACAGAAAACTAAGTACATATTGATAAAGTTGCTAATACTTAGTGGGTAATATGGTACATTTAATATTTGTAGTTGTAAGTGTTCTACCTTGGTTAAAAGTAACCTCAAATCATTTTGAGCCAGTATGTTTTAAAGTTATCTATTGATATGGCCAAAATCTTGATACGGTTTTCATTTTGAAAATCTTGTGGTATGATTTATGTAGGTCTATGGGACTTTTTTATAGTTAAATAATTTAATTAAAGTTTTATAGTTTCTAAATTATCTTGCCCTTCGTATGTCGACCGTTGTCAGTCCCATATATTTTTTTTATTTAATACAATGGAATATTAATCAAACAATAACGTAACATCATAGTATTATAGGCTACTACTCGGTGATACACTTATAGTCTTCAGGCGTATTAACGTTGTATTAAAAATCCAATGAAAATGGAAATGAACAGAAATGAAATCATATCATTGGTATTACGCATGACTCTGTTGTCAACTTGTGCTTATTTTGGCACTAAATGGCTGATTGGTCAGATTGATCCAACTAACCAACAAAAAAAACGATCCAAGCAAACAGTAAGTTTATTTTTAATTTTTACTAGATGTACATATTTGAATTATATATTAACTATATTTATAACTATTTGAATATTGATTCTAGGCTCTCAATAAATTGAGAAGTCTTGGTTTAGAAAAAGTGAAAAACGTAAGTTACCTAATAATAATAAACCTTGTAAAATAAATTGTGTACTATTTTTTTGTTCAAATCTTATACACTAATTGCTTCCGGTTGTTTACCATTAAATATATTTAGTATATATCTGTGATTATATATTTTATGAATTTAAATGAGATTAAGGTAAATGGAATTGTACCTTTTAATTTTAATATGGTATTATCTTCAAACAGCTATTTTGATTAAACATTAGTTTGGTATTTAATTACAGTTAACTGATCATGAACTTATGATTGCTAGTCATTTGGTTAATCCTTATGATATTACTGTTTCATGGAATAACATTGCTGGACTTAACCAAGTAATAGATGAAATCAAAGAAACCGTTATTTTTCCTGTACAAAGAAAAGAGTTACTTAGAAATTCAGTGTTAACAAAACCTCCAAAAGGTATAACTAACATAAAATGTTCTTATTCTTCAATTAATAATTTTTTATATTTTTAGGTGTTTTACTTCATGGGCCTCCTGGTTGTGGTAAGACAATGATTGCTAAAGCAACTGCTCGTGAAGCAGGTATGAATTTTTTATACCTAGACGTATCATTGCTGACTGATAAATGGTATGGCGAAAGTCAAAAATTAGCTGGAGCTGTGTTCAGTTTAGCTCAAAAGCTTCAGCCTTGTATAATATTCATCGATGAAATAGGTTAAGAACGATTACTAAACTTGTTGAAGTATTTATTAAGCATATTATTAAATATATTTATATAGTGTTTTAGTATTGATAACAACTGTATTCTATTATTATTTTTTTTTTTTAATATGCTTCAAGAAAAATTAAATGTATTGGTTGATTATATTTACATTTTATATTTTTATATTTTAGATTCCTTTTTAAGATCTAGAACACAACATGATCATGAGGCAACAGCTATGATGAAAGCTCAATTTATGATGCTATGGGATGGTTTATCAACTGATCCAGAAAATACTGTTATTGTTATGGGTGCCACAAATAGACCTAAAGACTTAGACCCTGCTATATTGAGGCGCATGCCAGCTACCTTTGAAATTTCACTACCTGTAAATATTTATATTAATAAATTTTCCTTAAATTTCTTAAAACAATATTTTGGTTTTTGATACAAATATTTTTGTTATTTATTTTAAATAATTTTTTTTTAATTTAAAAAAAAGATAGACATGAAATCATTGAGTTGAAGTCATTTAAATTGTTAGTATAATTAATTATTAGTTAATTACAGATTTATTGTATTCTAACAAAACTTTGGAACATAGTTGTTATTTTACCTAGTTTATTTTGATTACTCATTGAAATTCAAAGAATAAAGGTCGTAGATATATTAAGATATACATTTTATGTTGTATAAAATGGACATTAATACTTTGAAGATCTTAAAATTAGGTGGTATACCAATTTAGAGTTAATTTTTTTTTTAATAACCAAATTATTTAAGTGGTTGCAATTCCGACTCTTATTCATAATTTGAATAGGCATATTTAATTGAAAAAAAAATAAAAAAAATAAAAAAAAATGTTTAAAAAAAAGGTTATGATAAAAATTTAATTTTATTACATTGTTTATTTAAATAATTGTTATATGTAAATAATAATTCTGGAAATTCTTAAATTAAATAAGCATTAAAATGTAATTTTCTTATTAAAAATGGTGTTATCTATTTCAGGACGAACAACAAAGAAAAGATATTCTGTCATTGGTTTTGAAAACTGAGCAATGTGCCACAGATGTAGATTTACATAAGTTAGCCATAACAACTAATGGTTTTTCTGGATCCGACCTTCAAGAACTCTGTCGTATTGCATCATTATTACGCATCAAAGATTTGATTAAAGAAGAGGAACTTCAAAAATGGTGATTTATAATTAAACCAAATTCATGTTTCTTTATATTCTATAATATTTGTATTTTTAATAGTTCTTCAAATTCAATTGATTCTTCCGGTTTAAATTCATTGCGGCCTATCAGTATGGATGATTTAGTTGCATCTGTTTCTAAGATGAAAGCATCTAAAGTAGTCAGTGTCACTCAATCTAGATTTTAGTGAACTACTATAAAATAATCAGTAGTCTGGTTGTTGATCAATCTTAATATTTTATTATCTGTTTGGTGTAATGGTTTTTTTTGTGAGAACTGTTATTCAAATGGACAATTTTTTATTATAGCCCTAGTCCAATTTAAACACAAATAGTGTCTTATTAATTTTTAAGAATATAAATGCAGACATCATTATTGTTGGTTTTATTCTAATTTGTAGAAAAAATGTGTTGGTTATAACATACTATAAATCAAACAGTTAATTAATATTACATTACAATGGTAAAGTTATTTTAATTTAATTTGTATTAGTTGATTATTGAGTGTTGGAAAAGTTTCTATGACTATTAATGTAAATAATTATATTATTTTCTCCGGTATTTCAGTAAATTGTTGTTAATAATTATATAGTTTTTTGATTCATAATCATAATTGTATAGCTTTTGAATTAATTAACTACTTAGAATAAATAATTTTATAGATAATGCTTTGTTTTTTTTTATCTGACTGATTTTTTTTTTTGTAAATATTTTAATTTCTAGGTTGTTGATTGAACATCTTATAATATAAGATGTTCAACCGTTGTTACTAAGTTTCAATAATTTAGAAATATTAACTTTTTAGAAATGTTTGATTATTAATTAACACTAAAAAATATAATTAAATATAGTTAAAATGTCATTTTATTGTATTAAATAATTATTATTGTATTATATGTCATTATCTCTTCTATCCAACAAATACATATCAAATACCTTAGTAATAACTAATATCCATCTAATTAAACAAACTGTGTTATAATCTTCTGTTATGTTTGTATATGTTTTTAATTTTTCTCAAGATAACAACATTTAATGATTACATAAACCAATTGATCATTTTTATATTGCGATGCTGGTATAGTAATATAAATAATGTAAGAATATGTTGATATATTGATCTTATAACTTATACATATATTAATAATAAATATATAATGGATTCTGTTTAATGTGGCCATTAGTTAATGAGGGTAGCCACCTAATATGGGAATTATGTTGTAATCATTTAAATTAATCTTCTAATTATGGTTTAAATTCTAATGTGGTTGCTGTAATGTTTTTAACAATGGCAAAATAAAAATAATTTTAATGTGTCCTTAAGGCTAACAAATATTGTTTAATGTGAACACTCAATTAAATTTCGTGAAGGGGAAGTTGAACCCTTAAAACAACCCTTGCGTTTGTGCCTGATATAATGTTATGCTATTATAAGTATAACATGATAATAGGATATTATAAATAATATTTCGCTCAAGACTTCTTTTACTTCAGTGCCTTTCCCTTTTTACAATTTTGACCGCATGTTTGGTTTGAATTGAAGGTTCTACACAAAATGATTTTTTCAATGAGAAGTTTAGCGAGCATTAACTTTCGAGGACTATTTGACGTCGCGAAAAAACCTGATAAGTTCGATTAGGCTCGGGTGGGCCGGAAAAAATTGTATAAAAATAATGCATGATAATTAATCATCAAATTATTTTAATTCGTTATCTTCATGATGGAAGTCAATAGAGCCAATTTAATTATTTTATTATATTTTATTTTATCCGATTAAATTCTGGAAAAAAAAGGAATTTTTAATCTTTTTACTAATTACTTACGAAGTAGCG